GCAAAGATAAACATGGAGCACACCTGCTACTTTCAGACCCTTGAAGGTGGTCCCTTCCAAAGCATGTATACACTTGAGTCCTCAGTCTTAACAGGAAGCTCCCCCAAACAATGCCTGGATACTCTGCAAGCAGGGTACCACCACTGATAGGAATTCTCTTGAAAAGATCAACTATTCCAAAGTTTACTTCCAGTGCCTCATCACGATGGTTCACATTATATTTTTATTTTAGTGTAATTCAAATTTATGATATTGCTCAAAGAATTATCTTTCTTTAAATGAGGTTTTCCAGAAAGAACATTATTACAGTTTCTTTACATCTGAGCATAGAGTTAATTGCTTAAGAAATGTAATAACTTTTTATTAAACAAATACAGAAATACCAAATTGGTAATATTCTAAATTAGTCACTTTCATTTCTTTTTTTAAAGAGGTGTGTATTCATTCTAGTTTTATAAAATCAACTAAATTTCAATGGGTAAAATTCAATAGGTTTGTAATAATACCAACCATTATGATATATAAATTTATAAAGTCATTAAATTTTAATGTTTGTCATTTGGGAAGAAAATTGTTATTACTTTAAATGCATTGAATTCTGACTTTGTTCTTCAATATGGAACAAGCATAGATTTTTATCCTTGATACAAACTTGGTAAACTAACTTTTGTCTCAGGAGAATACATCCCTCAAAATATTTAGCCTGTCTTCATTTGCTCCAGAACAACCTTGGCAATATCTTTAAATCCCCTCATTCTGTGGAAATGGCCTGAGGAATTCTTTATTGTCAGTTTACCTTAAAGGCTTCGAGGTCGAGAGGGTGGAGCAAGAGGAGAACAAGGTCATTAGCTAGGGCTTCCCATCTATCATGCTGGGACCTTCTGGAACCTGGAGCTCTAAATAATCCTAAAAATATCAGAGGTTTTTCCCCTTGATAGAAGCACATTTCTCATGGCCAGCTTTCTAAGTCAAGAGCTAATAATACCCTCAACCTACTTGCCTTTTGCAGATACATGGGACACAAAGTAGGGATAATTTCTGCTGAATTGAACCCATAATGAAGGAATTTATAATCAGTTCTAATGTATTTGAGACCTAAAGTATATTAGCCCTTCATCAAAGAGAATGATAAAAAGCAGCATTAATATGGGTGGATAGTAATTATTTCAGAGCTTATAATTATTCTCCAGTTAACTAGAGAGAAATGCTGATATTTTTATTCCTCTTTTAAAAAATAAAAGGCACCGTGGTCAGATTCTGAAGCGCAAGAATGGATCACAGGTTCTTTGTTAAAGGCCAATACTTTAAATTATGGCTTATGTTAATGACAAAGGAACTATTTTGGACTGAAAGGAGTTTGAAGTTCATGGTCAGGAGTTCCCTTTACCTTGCTTAGTCCTTTTGTTTTACCACTGAATCTATTTATTGCCTATAGGAGATATAAAATATAGTAATTACTCTCACTCCCTTTCAAAATGACTTGAGGTCTACTTTCCTATTAACTCTAATGAGAGTTATGTGTGTGTTCCTCAGGGAGGAGAGGACCCAATCGGGTTTCAAGGTAAAATAAATCACTTCTACACTCAGGGTTTAGTGGTCTCATTTGTTTTATATTTTGATGATTGAAGATAGCCATTTCAAACTGCTGGTATTGAAAATGCACTATTTGTTGTTTAAAAGAAACATAAGCTGTGGTTGGAATGTTGTTAATGACTGCTATACCTGTTCAAAGGATAAATGTTTTGCCCTTGGGAAAAATCATGTTGCTTAACTTACAGGGACATGTGATCCCTAAAATGTCATTATTTAATTTTCATAAGAAAATTCATGCCAACTGCTTTTTATGATATTTTCTTTGTATTTAAAATGTTTTAACATCATTAAGTACTTTAACACTTTAGAATAAATGGAAAATGAGCTATAGTTGCTGGTGTACCGAGGGAGCAAAGCTAAGGTGATGGGCTGTTCTGTTTGCAGCATGGCAATAGGGAATCTTGAGATCAGGTACGATCTGTCTCTGTAATTCACAAGCACGAATTAACTCCATTCAGGCGTCCTCGCATGAACCAAGATTGAGTTTCTCAATTCATAACCCTAAACCCTCTTAGATATTTATTCTGAGTGCCTTTGGGCATGAAGATAAAGGAAATCTGTTTTCTTTCTTTTTATAATCCCTTTTGCCAAAATCTGTTATCAATCCTCTTCTTCCCAGGGAACCTGAAAAAATCAGATGTGCAAAAAAACCTCTTGAGGTTAAGAAAATCCAGCTATGCTGGAATCACTAAAATACTGCTGGAATGCATACTATGGTAACAATACCATTTCATTCTAAAGCTTTACTTAGCATCAATATATGAAATTCTTTAGTTGGGAGAATTCAACTTAATTCTCCTATAGGTTAATGATGCTTTCATATGTTTATTATGCTGAATCTATATTTGTATCTGTCCCCCCCAACACACATCAGTTAAGAGGCACAATTTCCTGAGTAAGGATGGGTATAAAAACTAAAACAGCAAAAAGCTAGGTCAATCAATTATTTCATCCAAAAAAAAATTTCTCTGTCAACACCATTGCTTTCCCATGACTTCTTAACTTAAACCCACCCAGAGCCAAAGAACAACTGAGAATTATGTTCACATGCAAAGTGGAAGATTATGTTTAACAGAAATTTTTTTATTTCTCACATAGGCCTAAGAGCTGACAATTCTGTGAGCATGTAAAGTATGTAAAACCACTGGCTTGGCGGCTGTAAAACCTACATGATTTCCCGTAGAAATCATGTAAATTGCTTTGGATAGCCTAGGTGAGGAAGAAATATACTTCCACCTGAAAATTGAAGAGTTATTTAATTGTGATTGGTTTTGCCCCCAAATATTAGTGAACTGATGATTCAGAAAAAAAAAATTGGGGGGTCAGATTTCTAGTTTCTTAAAGAGCCAAGAACTAAGCAATTAGACAGTTTAACTGAAATTAGAAAATAGATGATGGTTTTGGCTGCAATAAATATCACTGTTCTAAATTTCTATTACTTATCAAAACAAACAAACAGCAGCAACAACAACAGCAACAAAAGAACATAATTATCCAGTAGCCTAGGAAATAGTTAGTTGCAGAAAATTTAAAAGCTTATAATATAATCAAATACAATTGTCTATCATTAATATTTTCAAGTGTTTTAAAATTTGAAATATTTCAAATATAGTATTCTGATTCAGCAATTTTTAAATTTTAATGTAAAATTTATACTTTCGGCAGGTATAGCATCGTTGTTACATGAACATGAGATAAGTGTGCTTTTTATATTTAAGTAGAGTCATATTAAAGAAATTCAGCTATCTATGAGCTTGCAAATGAATGCCAGTTAACATAAACTATTATTTTGATCTAGGTTTTCTCAATGGAATGATTGCTTGAAGGTGTGATTATAAAAGTATATTGCTTAATTTTTTTGTGTACAGTTCCCATGTCTCTATTTGCAATGATGAAACCATGATATTACAATTGAGTATTTCATGGTCCCTTCAATTATATCAGCAATTTCTGTTTTTCCAATCTTTTGATCTTTGCTAATCACTGATATTTTTCAAGGCTGTCTCTGACCTGATGAATCATAATTATATCTCTTTTTTCCCCCCTTGTTTCTTGGATGGTGTTTTTATTCTTTAAGAGTTGTTATAGAAGGTTTAGTTTTGAATTACAAATATAATGCAAAGTAATCTCTATAAAAGACTTAGAAGTCTTTCTCAAAATGTTTAACAATCCTTCCCTTAGAAGTGTGCTTAGATTTAAAGCCTGCTTCTTTACTATTTATGTTATTGAAATCATGACTTTCAGTCCTCTTTTCCTCCTTTTTCTATGACTTATTTTATGCATGACAAAATTTTCTTGCTTATTGCTATGTGGTTGGCTGTCTTTTAACTTGAGTGTCCTGTGTTCATAGTGATTGCTTTTGCATGAGAATTATGAAATGTCATACAGACTAAATGGTTGTGGAATAAAAAGAGAATGTGGGGCTTCACTTGCTTTTTTGTGTGCTGAGTATGTCAATTATGTGACACTTAAAATTACTTTCATCTGGCCTTTGACTTCCCCTTTGGTGTGTTCTTTTATTCTAGCAAATTAGCATTGTTAAGTATAATAAAACATTTATTAAACATTCACAGTGTTTTAATATAATTATTCTTCTAAAACATGATCCTATTATAAATAACCATTCTGGGCATGAAATTGCAAGAGGGCATAATTCCATTATATGACTAAAGTGATTATGAAATATAAGCCCTGACTTTGTAACTACCTTAATAGCTAAACACCAGCTCCTATCAATGGGACCTTTTGTGATGAGATTATCCTTTGATACATTTGTGCAGGTGACAAATGTCTTAAATCCACAGCATACATTTAAATGAAAACCTATGGGGAAATATTTGTTACTGAGAAGTAATTTTAAAAAGTCACAGCTAAAATGTATGAATTTAAAGTTTATGTAACCCAAGTGTTAATGCTCTTATTTTAAAAAAGGAAAAAAACTAAAAAGAACAAATTAAAATGGTCATATCTCTATTTTTCCCTAATGTTATTATATTGTCCCAAATTAAAGAATGAACTTGACCTACTTTCTTTGTTTTTGTCACCAATTTAAATTAGAAGAGACACTGAATAAATTGAGTTCTTTCAGCTAATAAAACTGTTTACTTTTTTGTTTGCACTGGGTATTTTTTTAAAGATCATTTCTGTGGTTTATGACTTATGACTTTCAAATCATAATGTATTTTTTATGCTGGATATGTTCACAAGCCAATCTTTTATAAGATATTTTGGGGAAAGGGATTTTTTTCTCAAACAAAATAGATAATCAACTATGATGTAACCACTTCCCCGCTCTTTTTGAAATATCCTTGAGAGTTTTAGTACTTACATTTAACTTTTTGCCCTCAGTCTTGTTTATTCTTGAATTGTCTTTTTTTTTCCCTCCATTTCTCCATTCTCAATCCTAGGTCCCCTTACAAAGAAACAGACAGATGATTTAGGTGATAATGACGGTGCTGAAGATGAAGGTATTTTTTCCACCAAATCTATTTGCATGACAAGGGACTCAATCACTTTTTCCACCCCTTTCTATTTTTTTACTTCTTGTCTTTTTTTGAAAAGTTGTTTTGAATTCCCGTTTTTGATGTGTTTTGTCTTCTTGCTTGTTGTTACATATAAATATGCATTTTTAATTTTTTTCAAAAAATGAGTGTTAAGTTTTACATTTTGATGCCAACCATTAAAATGTTTTAAAAAGAGGGGCTTTTTTTTTTATTTTCTTGAACTGACTTTTGATATGTTTCATCCCACGTTTTGACAAATGCGTCCACATTCTTTGAACTAACAATCTTTCCCTGTAGTCTCTCTGTGCCCATTTTGCATGTTTTCTAATCTATGTAACTATTTTAGCCAATATCAAAATGTGTTTCATTTTTTTACATTTGACATTGTTTAAAAAGAACCCTACACTAAATAAAAAGAAAAGTTAGAAGCTGATTTAAAGTGTTTCTTGAGCAATATATTTTGATTTTAGAATACCACTGCCTGTTGATTTGCTGAGATATAATATAAATAATAAAATTTTGTAGGTAAGAAAAGACAACACAACCCTTGGGTTAATTCCTAATCACTGCAGAGCCCCTGAAGTCCCGTTGAGCTTATAGTAATATTTTTGGTGAAGTTTAAATTATTTAAAAAAGATGAAATGGATGATTGTTAATTTCAAAAGGACACACTTTGTAGATTAGCAAATAAATCAGATTACTCTGATTTTGAAAGAATTTCCAACTATGAGCAATAAGATATTTCCTGCTTTGTTAATATCAGAATTGTTTTCTCCTTCCTACTTTCTTAAGACATACAGTTCTGATTTATGTTTTAAACCCAAGTACTCAAAAGACTGATCTGAAATTTCTCATTCAATTGTACTTGTACCTGATGTTTAGTATCTAGAAAGGCTTATTGATTCTTTCAGCTCGTTTTGGTTTCATTGTTTTTTTTTCTTTTTTAAATGCTATCCTAGATATAACTGTAATAGAGGGAACTAATGTAATCCAAGATTAAAAGTAATTCCCTGAAGCCTAAAACTGAAATCTCACAAAGAGATATTATTAATACAATAAGATAGATTTTCCAAAATAAAATAATCAGCAGCAACAAGGGGTGAACAAGTTACAAGGATTTCACCAGTGACTCACTCTTTACTAAACAATTTGCGCTCATTTCATTTTCAATATCAGTCGTTAACATATTTAACAAACCCCTTTACAGTAGGAAATTAAACTATAGAAGTGAATTATTGAAAGCTTAAAAGTGACATTTGATTATTAATATTTTATAACCTTAAGAATTATTTTGGTTATGAAATTTATGATATTTAAAAAAATTCATTTACCATGAACCCAAGCAGATAATTAAAGATTAAACACAAAGCTGTCATTGATATTTTAAATAAATTATTATACATGCTCAAAAGTTATCATTATGAATGCTAAATGTCTAAAATAAAGATAATATCAAAATACAAATTGTGATTTAGAAAAAATACTGTTAGAAATGTGATATATTTAAACAGTCAGAACATTTTTTGACTTTGTAGGGCAAGATTACTGTTCTCCCTGCTCTAATGAAGACTGTTTCCACTTATAGATTTTGAATTTGTTGAGCTCTCTGAAAATTCTAAAACCTATTCATTTGTTATCTAAATAATAAAGTGAGTACAAAGGACTTCTTAGTGTATATCTTTGCAAAGTCTATAACTTTCCAATGTAATCACAAAGATAATATACATCACCTCCTATTTTAAAAATATTTTGGTTCTGATTTAATATGATTCGTTTTTTCTTTTGGTAAAACAGCACCAAGTAATGCATTTACATATTTAAAATAAATACCTGGGGACAACCATTGTAAGTTAAGTCCTATAGATGTGAGTCTACTTTATAGATCTATTGTGAAGCCCATCTAACATTTTTCAATTGGCCATTAAAAATAACCTAAACCCTTATTTGAATCGGCAGGTAGTATTGAAGTTATGTACTAAGCCACTCATCATAAGAGTTATCAATCCATAAATTTTCTTAAATGTTCAAAAGTGTAGAATGTCAAAGCTGCCAGTTCTAGTTCAGTTTGTTCCTCTGTGTTTTACTGAATACTTGTTTTGAAGAGAAGAAAGATGAATTCTAATATCCTACAGGAACAGATATTGTGGAAAGTTCTGAGCATCTTCTATTCAATGTCTTTTAGAATCACTTTGTAGATGTGGGTAGGACTAAAAACTGAGTCTAATTTTCAGACTTAGTTGTTTCAAACATTGAATCAATAACAGTGTGCATAAAAAAATAGAAACTACTTGGTAAATTATTTGCTTACTTCACTCAGAAGTCAGGTTTTCTGTTCATTTATAGGAAATTCCCCCATTATTTTGCCATACCTGTGACACCTTGATAGTTTTACCTGATTTCAAGGTACTGTATCAGCCACTGCATTCTGAGACTAACCTCTTATGTCCACAACTTGCTCCTGGGTCACTGATGCTCTCAGAAGACTTCTCAGTGGACTGCTTTTACTCTAATCTCGTGAGCCAATGTCCTTTTGCTGTCTCTAAACCAAACACAATTGTATCATTTTTTCACAGGTGGTTTATAATAACCAAAAGAGCTGTATATGTTATAGGCTATTTCCATAGTTTACAAAGAACTGAAGTGATAAAAATAGTTAAAAGCAACATCCCAGATATTCTCCTATTCATTTAGGAATTTGGGAGACTTTAAAAGTATGTTAATCATGCTAAGAATATCTGAATATTAACATTTCAATATTCAAATGCAATTTTAAATTCTACAGAGAGCTTTCTTAAACTTGCTTCATAGATTTTTGTATACTTTTAAAACTAAAAATGTACTTTGTGTTATATCCAGGTTAACAAGCACAAATTCAACCAACTGTTATTATTTTGGCAGTTCTGAATTATAATAAAATTCCATAAAAACGAGTAGAAAGCACAAAATGTTGTGAAATGTGCCTTTATATGTTGGAGAAAGATTTACTTGAGGCAATGTTTCAAAGTTTAAAACCGTTAAATGCTCCAAACTCTAAAATATGGTCAATTAACCACTTTGTGAGTCCTTTAAGAAGAAGGAAACCAGTAAACATATTTAAGGAGTTATGTGACTATTAACTATTTACTAGGGTCATTACAGGGATCTGTGATCCCAAATCCTGTTTGTCAGGCACAAATAAATTCCCACTAAACACTCTAGATCTATTGATGTTTATTAAAGTGATATAAAATTTTGATTTATCAGAAAGATGAAATAGTTCCTAAGTTTAAAATCATGATATATACTCAGATTCCAAGTTTGTTATTTTATTAATTTGAAAAATTAAAATACTTTATTAAAATTTAGAAGAAAATAATTATTCAGGTAGTATTTTTCCAATAACATTTCACTCCTTTCAAAGCCATATGTAGTTAGCAAGCTTTTTAAAAATTGCAAAAACAGAAAATGCTTGATGAACATTTATAATGTACTGAAACTGAGCTAGTGTTTGAAGATCTCTGAGAATGTTCTGATGATTTTAGTAACAACTGTTTAGGCAAAAAAGGGATCTTAAGTACAATATATAGCTCACATGTTGCACCTCATTTAAAGGAGTTACACAAAAGACATGGTCTGCAAGGATGATTTGGCTCTAATAAATTCAATACAAATTACTTAAGTCCATTGAATATACTCCCACTGAAGAAAAATATACCCCTGAAATTTGATTATTAAAAATGATAAAAATATTACAAATATTAAAAATTACTTAAAATATTATTAAAATATTCAATGGTATGCTATCTGATATATTAATTTCATTTATAAATAATCTAGTTTTTTTTTTAAAGAAAATAGTTATAATTTGGACTGTTTACATTTTCTATTAACATAAAAAAGTCAATTATGCAAGGAAGTAAAGTCTGAGATGGATCATTCTGATAAAACACTATCAAAGAATTACAATTATTTTGTATGAGAAGCTCTTTCAGAATTCTGATGTTTCCCCAAATTTTATTAGCAATATTAAAGATTCTAATGTCTAAGACTTTTATCTGTTTTAGTAATTAATATTCCTTAAAGTATTAACTTCAAAGTTACTTCAAGCATAAAGAAGTATTTTTCAGAACCCAGCATTAGAATTTTATAGAACTTTCTAGAAAAGCACTACTCTATATAAATTATTGGGCAAGGCTGAAATCTTTGAAAAGTTTGAAAAGATAAGTTGAAAATTAAAATTAATCCAAGCTATCTTTAATCCTTTCAAGTCTAATTTTTAAGTAAAAATAAAGAGATCCTTCTTAAAACAGCCCCTAAAATCTTTTGTCATGTTTTCAGTGCTTCCTAACAATGTCCACTTCATTCAGTTATTAGGTATAAAATGTGGCAGGTCTTCTCTGTATTGTTTTCCAGGTGAACTGGATGGTTCTACCAAGATTTCATTACTGTTCACAGTTGGTGCTTTGTAATTCTATGTAATTTTAATTAAAGAAGAATTCTGAAACAGCCTCCCTCAGTGCTACCTCCAAGCATACAATTAGCAGAGTACAACGTCTGCTGTGAACAGTCAGTTAATGATTTCAGTTTAATAATTTATTATTGCTTCTTCAGTGCCAACCACTGTAGAAAAAAAAAGAAGCTAAAACTGTATGTATAAAGTAGGCATTTAAGGTTTGTAGTTTAGCAATTTCAAAAAGATTATGTCCTTGGTGTAAATCTAATTTCTCCACAACACAAGCCCCCTATTCTTTACATAGGAATGAATACCATTTTCTCTCCCAAGGATTCCTAGAGAAAATAAATCCAGGTTTTCCCTCTTAAATGTAGTTGTATCTAGAAGATGATTTTAATATCAAAATATCTTCCTTTCACTACTTAAAAACAAAACATTCTTCTAAAGTGCATCTTTGGGGAAAGGAGTGGGGAGGTAAATTTTTCCACTGGTTTTAAGTCAATTTAAAATAGTCTTTTAAAAAAATTAAGTCTCTAAGTTCTGCCATGAGACATTTCTCCAACTTGAAAATCTGGACAAACAAGTTGAGCTAAAATTCTGCTCCTAAGGGACATTTCATTTATAGAAATCGTTTTACTATTATGGTAGAAAAATGGAAGGATCCAAATTAGTCATTATTTTTCACAAGAAATGTAAGCCAATCTCTAAATAATCACCAGTTCTTTCAATGAATTTGTATCATGGTAGTTCATTCTGAAAACTAGTGCCTCAAATGCAAAGTTGTAGGAGAATTTAATTTGATTAAAACTTTTTTTTAGAAGCAAAGGAACAAAACCATAATCTTAAATGATACACTTAATATTGATATAAAAATAGAGATAATATACTTGATATAATTTTAATTTTGGATATTAGACCTCATGGGCTACTATGTAATAATAATGTTTTGTTTATATATATATATTCAAAATCATATTTTAATCTACATAATGAAACCGTAATATGTTAACTTTTTTCCTATAGAAATTAGTGCATGTATAATATTAATTAAAATTCTCTTACATTTCCCTTATATGTTATTCCTATAACCTTATTGAGAATTACATAATTGTGAGAAATGCATTTTAGAAAAGTAAACATTCTTGGACAAAATTCAAAGTTATAGAAATCACTTTAAGCTCACCATAAATTTTGTCACTTTACACTCAAACTAAGCTTTCTCCTATTTCAAGGTTATATGATTAAAATTGAGCACCAAAGTAGGGATAAGAAGAGTATGTTAGCTACAGAAAGAGGCGAAAATTATTATTTTGTTGTTCTGTTCTCCCAAAGGTTCAGGTTAGGTGGAATTAGTGAATGGTCAGAACTTCCTAAAAATAAAAAATCATTTAAATGGCATTCCCCCTAAATACAACAGTGACAGAAGCTCAGATGCATATGACTTCACTGCCAAAACATTTGTTTAATACTATGCAAAGAGTAAAATGAAACTTCTTGCAATGAATAGTATAATACTATAATAATGTCCACAAATGGAAGCATAAATGACTTAATGTAATCATACTGCATTTGATACAAAGGTCTACAGTAAATAAAAATGAAAAAAAAAACATTGTTTATTCACAATAATAATGATACCATCATCCTTAGCTTATGGTTCATAAATTCCATATGAGATCAGTTTTAAAAAGTAGTCCAAGAGCCATTATCAATTGGTTATTTCTTTTGGTTTTACTGTCACTTCCAGAATCAATTAAAATGCTTTAAAATTCATACCACTTTCAATTTGTTCAAGTTTTTAATTTAGTTTATAATTTGTAAACTAAATTTCAGATAGAAGACAATTGTTCTCTTGCTCCATGGTTCTTAACATGAGCTGCTTAAGAAACACTTTAAGAAAAACAGCAATTTAAAGACCTATATTAAAATCATGCCCTCTGCCCCTAAAATGAAAATGTACTCTCTGCTTTGTTATTTGTGATTTTTTTTTTTTTTGAGGGTAAGAACAATTGCCAACCATTTGTTTTTCAGATATCCGGGACAGTGGAGGTCCCAAGCCAGTGATGGTGTATATCCATGGTGGCTCATACATGGAAGGTACGGGAAATTTATATGATGGGAGTGTGCTGGCGAGCTATGGCAATGTGATCGTCATCACTGTCAACTATCGGCTTGGGGTACTTGGTAAGAAATTTCTTTTTTTGTTTTCACATATAATACATGAAGTATGTGATGGTTTTTGATTTATTATTGACTCATTTTGTTTTGCTTGGATTTGTTTCACTCCTTCTGTGTTTGTTGATCTTTATGAACCAATATTTTTCATAGTTCTAATGAGTTCTATAAATGTTCACAAGCTATGTGACAAAGAATAGCTATGGAAGATTTTTAAATGTGAACCTAAAAGGTAATGAAATCACTCACATTGTTGGAGAATGTACTGCCTGGTTTGGCTTTATAGGACTGTGAAAGGTAACAATGGCAAGGCCTTAGGAAAAAAAGTTGGTCCCTGGGTGAATTTTTCCTTCTTCTACTTTTCTTTTTTACAGTGCTATAAAATTGCTGGAGGTTTGCGGTGACCTTAGAATCAATTTTATATTCTCTCCTTGATTATGTGTTTGGGCTGGCTTTGAGAAATGATTGTTTGCTATTGTTGTGCAGGCATTTTTTTTTGGTCCTATAATAATTAGAAATATGTTCTCAATGTTTTTTGATTGGGTTATTTAGAAAAACATACATTGATTTCATAAAATGACATAGTTCAGTTTAATAATGCATACTGTTCCCCAAGGAACTATAAAATAAATACAACATACAGATCCTCAGTTTTGAAGAAAAGTATAGAGAAATATTATTTATAAAATGTCTTTCTAGGTAGTCTAAGGTAGGCATGTTATTTTATGTAATAAACTTAAAAAAACTAATGTGCTAACCTTCCAATTTAATGTTATTTGCTCCAATTTTATTATAGTTTTCAGAGTAAAATTGCTATGTCATTTAGTAGACATCTCTATCTATGATATTTTCATTAACAGCATTTGCTTAAAAAGCATAATTTGACCTCAAAAGTTTTTATTTTTTTAATATTAATTGTTATCAAAAGTTATAGATATATAGATTCAAGAGGTATAATCTATCAATTTTTTGACAAATAAAAATATATCACACTTTCTTTATTCTAAAATATTTAAAAAATATTTTGGAATACCTTCTCTTTTATGATCATTTGATGTTGTATATTCCAACCATATTGAGAAAAAAAGTTTTTTTCCTCTTTGGTAGAAGCTATTAGTATTCTAACTTCTGTGAAATCATAATTTCACATTTATGCTAATCACAAAATATAAAATACATTAATTTTCTGTAAATCAAGTTCATATGTCTTGGGTAAAGGTGAGGTCTTAATCTTTTTCTAGTTTTCTATTTAGAAATTTAAAGAGTGGTGAGTGATATCATAGATACATTGTATTAAAGTAGGCTTGAAATATTTCTGTAGCTTTGCTCAAGTATTCATGGTTCGAGTGTCTAGTTCTGCATCAATTCAGTAGTTTTATAGTTTCAATAGGCAGGGATGAGTGTCTTCTCATCGATGAAAACCCTGCATATTACAAGATACAGAAGAGTTTCTAGTTTTCTTAAATATCTAAGTCTTGTTTGTTTCCTATAGAACACTTTATGTAAGGGTCTTCACTTATCTTCAATACTTTAACTTAATTTATGATATTGTTTATGATTGAGTTATTTTCATTGGTTATTATGCTCATATATTTCTGAATGGTGAAGGTTGAAAATCCTGAGCAGTGACCAGTTTGCAGAGGAAGAATTTAAAATTAAATATCAATAGTGGTAACAGTGTTTTCAAGGACTTAGATGTTCAGCCAGTCATATATGTATTTATTTTAAGTTCTTTGGCCACACATTATGTTGCCCTTTTCTTTCATTGGTTGTACCAACATAAAATGCAATTTGCAAAAATGAATTTTGTTGTTTTGTTGATAGAAGCTTTACTTCTTTATCCACTTACCCACCCTCCCTCCCTCCCTCCCTCTCTCTCTTCCTTCCTTCCTTCCTTCCTTTCTTCCTTCCTTCTTTCTTTCCCATCCTCCCTCCTTCCTTCTTTCCTTCCTTTCCCCCCTTTCTTTCTTTCCTTTGTTCCCTCCCTATACCTTGCTATTTCTCTGACCCCCCCCCATTCCCCTCTTTTTCTTTCTTTTCTTCTTTTTCTGTGTTCAAAAGTGGTGAGGACTGGACATTGATCCAATTTGAGCCCTTCCTTCATGCCCGTTATCTATCTTTATGTGCCACACTAAATGGTTGGATTGCAGAACAGATGAAGAACTTGAAGAGTTCTTTGTATAACGGTAAACATTGTAAGTGTTGACGAGGGGTGATTTTATCAGTGTTAAATACTTGTTCTGGCTCTACTGAATTCTTGGTTTCACCCATATTGATTTCTTTGTTTCTCCTAAACACACATAATAATACTTAGCCAAAATTGTCCTTTATTGACCCCTCAACATGACAAATTACAAAACCTTGTTAGTGAAACACTTTGAGGCATAACTTAAGACATTAATTCTAGATGACTTCTGGTTACTTTCTTCCAAAAATATGTGTTGGGTCTTGTGAAAGCACACATAAGTGGATTAATTCATGAAAAATAAATTATCAGAACATTTGTTTCAGCACCCTTTGCATGAGTGGCGCTCTAAAACAGATCAACAGCTCATTTCCTAGGACCACAGCAATGAGCACTGTAGAGTTATGAGGTTGTTTTTATGACTGTTTTCTCTAACACTAACAAGGTAAGCCAAGGTTTATTCGGCGTGGGTTCCAAAAGTATTGCTGTCTAGTTTGCACTTGGGTAAATTACACAGAAAATGAGATTTGAACCCACATTAGAGAAAATCCTGAACTGTGTTTTGATTTGGTTGTTTTGTTGTGAAGAAAACAAATTTGGGGGATCCAACCTACAAACAACCTAATTGTAAGACTATTGCTGGAAGGCAACTGGCAACATGTCAGTATGTCTGGAAGAGATACTGTAATTAGTCTTGCTTTGAATTTGCCATCCTAGGGGGGAAAGTCTTACACATTTTGCTTTCTTATTTTTCTTTACTTTTTTGGTGATAAGTAGAAATATAATAATGTTTCAGAAATAAAATTCATACCACTATCTGGTGGTCAAGTCTCCAGTGTAAAGCATTTTATGTTTAAAAAGAAATTTTTGTTCATTACAAAGTAGGAAGAACAAGAAAGAAAAAAAACGCTTTGATGTGAAGATCTAGTATGAGAACAGAGTTGAGTCCTCCACCTTTGATGATTTTGTTTAGAACAGTGATGTACAGTGTTTGACTATTATTGTGTTATGTATGTTTTCTCCTCCTCAAAAGGTGATAAGAATTGATCATAAATTGACAAAAAAGGAAAGGCAAGGGAGGACTCTGCTCCATCCTCACTTCTCCACTTTACCCTAAGTCTTATTTGAGTTCTGGCTGACCGTGTTTCATACACTGAGTATTGATTATTTTTTCTGCTACTTTCTATATACATTTTTTTTTGTCTTTAGCCAGTTTTGTATAAACTCTTTCCATATTTGCTTTCTTTACCATCTGGTAATTAATCTATCATTACATAATCCTTTAAAATGTATTTAGAATAATTGTTAGTACATACTTTTTAATATTCTAATGTATGATTAATAAAGATTATAATTTTGGTAACTTAGGGAGAAATGCTTTGATTATGTGTTCTTAAAGAGGAAAAGAATCAATATCTAATAATTTGATTATAACTTGATTATAACTATAATTTATGATTTATGATTATAAATGAGGATAGTGTTGGATCCTCCTCCAGGGTCCTTTGGATCAGATCAAAATTGAAAGAGAGTATTAAATGAATCATTTACTGTTTCGATGAGATACTATGCACTAAACTTTTTTGAAAATAGAAACTACTTAAATGATAATGTATTTTTAAGTCTCAAAAAATGAAAAAAAATGCATTAAGTAATTTAGTATTAAAAACTATTTTGAGTACCTCTTTATATTTAGAATAAATTTATAAGTTATTTTAGAGTAATTTAGAAAAATATTAACATCACTCTAAGGATCTAACTTGGGCAAACATAAGATTCTTTATCTGTTGGAAATGTAATGAGTCACTTTTGTCCTGATATGGATATTTTGAAGGCAAGTATACAATTTGTAATTCTAGCCCATGTTATTTATTATAGAAAATATGCCTTTAAATATTTCAAAGCTATTGATATATATGTGGAAGTCTTGCAGATTCTTTAAAAAAGATCTAATCAAATATTTTAATGAATAAAATAGTATCCACACCACCCACCCATTAAAAAAAATTGAAGCCGTATCCCATCTACTTGTATTTGACAAATTTCATTTAGTTTACTTTATAATGTCATATAAGGCTAAATCATTTAAAATAATAATCTGTAATCTTTACTGCCTATCAGTTTTAATAAACTTCTAAATTTATTTTTATTCTCTTAGACTTAGTTAATGAAATTTGTTGATTCTTACAACTAGGTTGTAGTAATGCTACAAGTTTTATCAGACAAATGACAGAAATAACTATAACTTTGGTGTGATCTGTCACCAAATAACACTTGTTTCAGCAATTATATTTTGCATGAGAGATAAAAAGCAAGGACAACACTATCCTTATTTTTAAACAGCTTTTGATTTAATTGAGAGAGAAATAAACCATCAGTAGAATGTAGTAATTGTATTCTGATATATGTTTATTAATTCCTTTATATTATAAAGTCACTTTGCATATAAGAAAAGGAATCAGAACAACAAAAAAATGGAAAGAAAAATAGAATATACCAAATAGCTTAATGGGGATGCCATGACTGAAATTCATATTTTAATCCTAACAGCCTAGGAACAAGGTTTGTAAAATCTGTATATTGCTCATGATTTAAAAAGCAAAGCATATTATTTCCTCAAGCAGTATAACATTTTAATAATTTTTATTCTTGTTTGCATTATTTTTGTTTCTGTCTTATTATAAAATTAAAAAATCAAAACCTATAGAAAAATAACAGAAACACTCAAATGTGACCTTATATTTAAGAGTAGTATACAATCAAATATTGGATTCTATATGATGATTATATCCTACAGTGTGTCCCAGTGTGATCTTGGGGCATA